CTGAAATATGCTATGCTACACTCAAGATGTGAGAGCCCATCTGGCTTCACTGTGGTTCTATCAAGATTTGCAAGCACTTGCCGGGGCGATACAGTTGGTACTCCGGTTCTAATGCACACTTTGTGCGTATTTCATTGCTATGGGCGGGGTCTCTGCTTGCCCTCCATCGACTGAGCGCCCACCTGCTATTGATGACTGATGAAGTTCGTGTCTTGATTTAGTTTCATTTGAAAGGAACTCAACTTTTCACATCCTGTTACATTCTGCAACAACAACAACAACAACAAAAAAAAAAAAAACAGAGGAAAAAATTAAGTGGGAGTGACTGGGAGATTCACTTCAAAAGGGTAAAGCATACTCCAGAGTTCAGGACAAGACAGTTGGTAGCACTGTTTGACAGCTCTCGTGGCTTTGCTAGAACTGCGTGCTGGATCGCACTGAAATCATTAGGCTATATCTGCTACTTTCAGCAAAAATTGAATCGGGTAATGTAGACAAAGGAGTGCTCATATCTTTACTATGGTTCTCTCTCTTCGTTTCAGCTGGTATCCTTAATAATTAGTAAACTAAGTGTACTGAAGAAGGTAAGGACAAGTGTATGCCAGGCTATGTAACTCTTGCCATCTCTGCAATATAAATCTTCCTGCGTACATGCTGCCTCCAAATGCCTTTAGCAGTTAAGAAAAAAAAAGCTAGAAAAAGAAATACATGTGTACAGTATAACATTAGAGGCAATTGAGACCAGGCACCATCTTGATACTTCTGCTGTTGCTACTATTTTTTGTTCAATTTATCAGGTGTCTGTTTAAATTTATGAAACATTACCTGAAGAATCTAAATCCTGTTGTAATTGATAGGCTTAGTTATACCTGTTTCATATTGAACTGAATATATGATTATATTTTCAGCTGTGATTCAAAACTGAAAACAGAAGAATGAAAATAAGACACAAAATACTAACACAGAAGTACTACTTAAATGTCTTCAATGGAATTTTCTTGGTAAAAATTCTGTTTCCCTTTTCTTATTTAGCAGCTTCAAATTATTTTTTTTTAAAAAGTTTTGAATTAAAACAATAATCCTCCTTTTTTTTCAGGCTCTGGGTCTTATGCTTTTGATATTTGGGCTGTGGCTTTTATTTGACAGAAACAATTTATTCAGTGTGTTATGTGAGTATAAACAGAATTTTTCTTTTTTTCAAATGATTGCAAGATAAAACAGAAACAGCTATAGATTCTTTTTTTTTTTCACAAGGTGGCAGTATTGGATTGAAATGCATAGGTTATGTTTTCCTGTTATGTGTATTTTCCGTCATTAGAGAGTAAGATTATCAAAATAAGGGAAAATATGTATCAGTATATCTACAGTTTATATATGGTCATAATTTATACGATTTATTTCCTTCTCTTGTTGTACAGGCTATAGATGAATCACTGAAATATAATTCAGCTCTATTGATCTTTTCTTTATATAATTTACTAGCCTGTGTTTGGCCTGCATTTGACAAGATTATAGACCTTTTAGGTGGATATTTGGGTGGAATGAACACAAGTTGGAGCTTGGGCCTCTCCATATAGATATGCCTTTTTCCCAGAGTGCCTATCAAATTGTTTCACAGAGAAGTAAGTTTTGGGTCACATTGCAACAGCTGTGCTCTTAAAGAGTTGTCTGCCTCGCCTGTGCCAAGGAGCATCAGCTCCCAACTGGTGGGGTGGGAACCATCCAATACAGTAATTCTGGGAAGAAGGATTTGAGATGGAAGTGATGAAAACCCCTGCTACTTCCCATAGCTATGCAAAAATGGTTGAAATGGAAAGGGGAAAGTGGCCAGTCACAAAGAGGGAGGATAGCACTGAATCTGAGTCTGGACTTAATGAGAACTTTATCTATTTCCACATAGGATTTGTACATGTGCTACTAATTTCTGGCAAACACAAAAATTCTGTAAACTTGTAATTATTCTCTGATTTCATTGTGTGTGGTTCACATTGTTCAATCGAGTATGTTCTGTTTACATCTCATATGTTGTTACCATCCTCTGAATTTATGACAATGTATCTTTTTTTTTCTGTGACTGTAGATAGCATAAGTAATAATAATAATGCCCTTTTATCATTCTACTATTTCCATCCTTTCACTAGCGGCATTGCAAGGGTTTAATTGATTTTCTTAAATAAGTTTTTTACATGGAAGTCTCAAAAAAAAAAGAGAAATAATGGTATGAATGCACTGTGTTACAGTTTCTTCAGGCGAAAACCAGCTAGTGGCATATATTTCTTGTATGTTACTTGGAATTGGATCTGTTATTACTTTTATATCAGCTGTGGGATTCCTTGGAATTCTTAAGGAAATCAAATGTCTACTAGTTACAGTAAGTGTAAATCGGATGACAACTTTCTCGTAAAATGAAAAGGAGCTCTGTGTATATGAAAATTGTGATCCTGTCTTGATGTTGTGATCTCCATATACAATGCTTAACAAATCTGCTGATAGAAAGGTATTTTTAGATAAATTCCTGTCTCAGATGAAATCTGAACAAAACTGAAGACCCTTCCATATCACTGTATGAACGTTTTCGATGACAACACACTTGCATTTTCTTGCAGCAAAGATTTTAACTACTGTATTTATGAACTTAGAGGCATTAAAGTTAATTCAGTATTGAAATTATGCAGAGTAACTATCTCTCAGTATATGCTTACATGCTTAGTACGTGCTGAAGAAATAAAGAAAAGCCTACCCCAAAATATTGCAGATTGAAGGTACAAATAGCTACAGTATGGCTACAATATCAAAACAGAAAGTATGATTAAAAAGCTGTTAGCTGTGTAAACCTCCCCGGATACTCCATATTTCTATACAATTCCTGCTTTTTAAGCGAAGAACACTTTGGTTTCTGAAAAATTACATGGTGACTATACATTCTTATGATCCCGTTGATTACATTTTTTCCTTTATCTTTTGTTTATTGTCACCCTTTTTGAGCGATCTGTTTTAGACTACGTGAAGGCTGCAGCAGAGAACTGTTCTACTGATTCATTTGTTAAGCACTATAAATGTCAATTGGCACAGCAGGGAGAGGAACCCAGGTGCTATAACCAGGAATTTTGTTCCTTCTTCCTTCCTGCTACTGCCCTAGGCATGTAGTGTTTACCTCACAATTTATTAGATGATGAAAGAGAAAGTGTCCCATTTCCAATTTCCATGGAAGCATCTAGTACCACAAGATCTAGATACTGTAGGTGAAATTTTATCTCACTGAAAATGAAAAAAAAACAACTATCTTTTTGTTTTGTTTGTGCGTCTCATAGCTCAAAGGAGTTCTTGACTATGTGTGCAACCTCAGTACCAACATAATTTAAACAGGAAATAATGAAATAGGAGTTTTCTTCAGTGGAGCACAGCTGCTTAACAACTGCTTTTGTTTTTCATTTCCAAGAAAGCTATGGTTTTGTCTTTAAGCCCAAAACAATGAGTTGTGCTTTGCCTGAAGCCTGCCTCTTAGACTATGATGTCACTTTCTGAGGATTTCCAGGAAAAAAATATTTCTTATTTTTGTTGGAATGACTCTAAGTAATAGTCATGAAGGATTATGCATGAGTTTCTGTCATTTTTTATTGCATAGCTCACTTGTTCAATATTATGTTTATACATAATTTGGAGTGTTTTTTCAGTATATGAGTTTTCAGATCCTGGTGTTTGTTACCCAGATGGCAATATTGATGCTGATATTCATGAAAAAAGAAGAGGTATGTAAATAAATTATCTGAGACTGCTGATAATTTCAAAATAGTTTCTTGCAGTTAATTAAAAAAAAAATCTAATTGTCATTTCTCGCTGTATGCTGTATCACCATTTGTTTGAACTTGAGTATTCTACATGTCAACCAGCCATAGCAGAAGATGTGGGAAACTTAATTTGAGGAATTCAGCATGGTTCAATAGTTGTAAAGGAGAGTGCACAGGAACATTTTTCCAGTTTCTTCTGTGCAACAAAACGCAGTCTTCCTGTTCAGGAATGTGAAATCAACAGTGTAAGGGAGAGCTTTATTCCTTTCTGAGGGATGACCCAGAAAGTCCCTCCTTCCTGGACATCAGCAGAAGTAGGAGAAAGCATTAGATGCTAACCTGTGTCTGCTACCAGGTGATAACAGTAGTTATCAGTAGTAGGAGGCATTGGTGTCATGGCAAAGTTTGCTAATAAATTAATAGTTTTATTGTTTAAGCTTGTGTTTTAGGTCCTAGCAGAGATCTAATATAAGGAATATGTATCTCTGCTTTTAACAACAGGAAGTAACAATAAATACCAAAATAGCTGTTGTTGCTAGTAACTATACTGCTTTGAAACTTTATTCAGTCATTTATTTTTCTACATATAGCAACTCCAATAGCTTGGGCACTCCTCACAGTATGATACGGAAGGTAATCTGTGCTGAATCCATAGTGGTCTGGCCACTTATGTATTCCATAATTCCAAAATCTATGGTTTGAGAAAACCTCCCATGACACTGGTCTCGTAAGGTTCATACAGTTCTCCAAATCCTGCTGCTATTCAGGCAGGGTACAGCACAAATAAATTAGTTTTACTCCATCAAAGTGAATCTGTATCATCAAGATTTCTTCATTAAATGTTAATTTATAATTATGGAGCCCTCCCTGTTTTATATGATGGTTTCACATACTGAAAGATTTGAACTGTCAGGAATGATGCATTCTGGAGTCAGCTATTTGGGCTAGGAAAATTGGTTGAAAGATTGCAGTTAAATTTATTTTATATCAACTGTAATTGCACTTGATCTCAACCTTAATTAAGTGTTGCTGAAGTGTAATAAATGATGATAACATCATCTTTCACTGTGCAAGTTTTGAATTTTGTTTTTAGGATGGCTGTAGCAAGGGGAAGGAGTTGGAGAAGCCCCATTTTTTTTCTTGTTTTGTAATGAAACCTTCCAGTGACCTAGGAGTTCCCCTCTGCATGTATTCCCTGCTACACTCTCTATAAGCACACTCTTTGTGATCAGCTTGTTCGCTTCAATTACTGTTGAAGGTGTATTTTAACAGCCTCTGCCAAGATGCCTTATCTAGGGCCAACATGAGCTGCTAACTCCCCTAGCCCAAAGCAATACATATCCTGGCCAGATTGTATGGTGCTCACACAAGTTTGTATCACATTATGTGTACAATCAATTTTGGGTTTATGCTTATTATATGGGGCTCTGCTTATTAAAAATAAGTATGAGAGGCAGGATTTAATATTTCGTGATAGATCAGGTGCATCTATGTCTGCCTGTGCTATGTATGTGATTTCGGTCTCTTCATTTATCTTCCCCTTTTGCTTTCAACTTTCCCATTAGTGCAATGGCTATGACATGTCTTAGATCATATTTGGCAAATTGATTAGAATGCTGCTGCTTGCAAGTAATCATTGAAGAAACCTGAATATCAATAAAAGATCAAGGATTGTAATATCCATCCACACTCTTATCAATATGCATATACCAAATGCTATAAATATTTATGAACAGGTCCACAATCAATGGAACAACAGAATTGATGAAATTATTTCTGAATATGGGAATGAGAGTCTGGCTGAGCAGGAACCTGCGTGGAACATTCTGAATGCTGTGCAGCACAATGTAAGGAAAAAAAGCCACAAAATATCACAACCAAAAATACTGCATCAACCAAAAAATGTGTATACTAATCAGAACTTACTTTAACAAAACAACTCCTTTTGTAAAGGATTAATTTTTCAAGATCCGCTGCTAATATCTGATGTGAGTGGGCAGATTCCTTGCTGTTATATGGATTATTATGAATGACATTAGGTTTTTGGATGTCTTGTTGATGTATGTAGGAGCGGACAGTTGTGGTCACTGAAGTTTAACGCAGCTGAAAAAAACTATTGGATTTCCTAATATCTTCGACAGTGCTGAATATCATAAAACACTTGGTCTGCTTAGTTCTTGAGAGTGACCTGAACTATGGACAAGCAGAGGGGCTGTAAGGTCAAAGCAGAGCTCCTGCTGTGAGAGCATTTGAATAGATATTGCACTGAGACTCTCTCAGAAATAATGCTTAAAGCCTCACATGAGCTTGTAAATCAATACTTTCAGCACACATACTTAATTATTAATCGTATTTTTTTTGTGGCCTGGCAGCATGTAGTTTGTTTCCCTTTTCAGAAAAGTCCTTTAAAGCATTTGTATGAGATCAATCATTTTGAAAGTTGTTAGCAATGTTTTTGACCAGTGGCCTGCTATCCACCCTTCAGATTAATTCTGCATCATAAGCTTTTAATTACAAACACTACAGCTTAACAGTTTAATATTGTTTAATATACTTCTATAGGCCAGCTGTGAGTTCCTTAATATGGCTTCTTGCAGAGATGAGTTATAGTTCTTCACTAATGTTGAAGGTAATTTAAGATTCCAGATAACTCACAAAGCATATATGTCTAGACTCAAGATTACAAATGCATTTGTAATGTATATTTAAAATTTGTTCTTTGAAAATCCAGCCTTCTTTCACTGCATTCATGATTTCTCTAGTGATTAATGGTGACCCCATTATGTCAATGGTGCAGCTAGACTATGTGCTGGTATACTTGGGCTCAGTTTTATTGAGCTGTTGTGGGAGCACAGATTTCAGCAAGGTTACCTACCCACCGCCTACCCTGGTGGGCATGTTTAAATTGTGGCAGGTCTCAAAATCCTGTGGGTATTTTGCTGTTGGTGTCTAAGCCAGATAAAATTATATTAAATCTGCCAAGGTGAACTTTTGAATGAAATACTGCCATCCCCAAGTCTTGTGTTACATGCTTCCAGCTCTTTACAGTATCATTGGCATCTGCCATCAGAAAAATAAAAAGCCTAATATCACAAATAGTATTAGAGAATAACTAAATTTTTATATATTCTTGGTAATATTTAACACCCTGCTTAAAGCTGGTGGGTTTTTTTAACTGAACTTACAGAGCTGTTGAAATGGAATGTTTTTACTGAGAAAGAACAGGTTTTGGCTAAGTTATCTAATTTTTTTGAAATTTAGAAGCAATATATCTTGGGTTGACTCTTCAAAACATCAAAATGGGATGCTTGTATTTAGCATCTCTGAGCTAAAATATGGCAGACTTTTCATCCCACAAAACAATTCAAACATTTTTGAAGTGTCGTCCACATTCAGAATGAAAAACTGCAGGTATTTCCTACAGGGCAAGAATCCCGTTCTCCAGGCTGTTTGATTGTTTGGTTTGGTTTTGTGTTACCGAGATTATTGGGAAGAACTACCTGATAATCCAGTTGAACAGGGCACAGTATTTACTTTGTGCTTCAAGTGTGAGGTATGTGTTCACAAGAGACTGATTGCTCAAACGAAGTTTTCAAAATCTGGTGCTTATTTACGTTTCTAGATCAGAGTAAAACAGACTGTCTGTGGGTTTATTTTTATTTATTAAAATATGTTTTACAAAATCTGTCCCTGTTTACTACATTCACTATGAAACAACATTCATTATTTTTTTCAAATAATGTATAGTTTTCTTTCTTCTTTTTGTTGTACTTCACAGTGAGCACGCCCTTAATATACCTTACTGTTTACACACAATTTCTACACTGAAATTACTTTGGAAGGTTAAGGGTGATAGTCAAAATGTTTTGCTTTAGTCTGGGTTTGTATTTTTTTCTCTTTTTTTTTCTAGAATAATGTAAAGTCTAAAAAAAAATCCTTTCAAAAGTGTATTTTAAGATCATATTGTTCTTGAATCTGTACTATCCAGTACGCATCATGGGAAATGATACGTAAGGGTGAATCATCCCCTGCAGAAACCTCTCTCTACCGAATACAGAGGGAAACTGTCTAGCTAATTTAATGAGCTAATAGCTAGCACTTGTTGGGGTGGAAATCCCTCTGCGTGACAGTCTGTATAGACATTGGAGTTACCAAGTTACAGGATTTCTATTCCAGATGAAATGCTGTGGAAGATACAATGTTACACAGTGGGAAAGGAATGAAAACAAGGAAAATAGTACTCAGATCCCGTGTTCATGTACAAAATCCAGTCTGAAGAAATGGTTTTGTGATGTCCCAAGGAATTCAACATACAGTATGGTAAGAAATAAACTTGTCTTGAAGAATGTAACTTTTGCTACTAAATGGACTTTGGAAGAAGTATACAAAACATGTTTTCCACCAAGGCTTGGCTTACAAATGCCAAACTATTAATAATATTCATTGCTTTGGTTTTGGTCACTCTGAAGCCTTGGTTTTTACTCATTAAGTGTCAGTCATGTATGCAGTTCTAAATTAAGGATAATTCAAGAAAACAGGAGCTGTGCTTATCACAGATCATTATCACAGGGACATTTAGTAATGGTTTAAGTAGTAGTAAGCATGTTGGCATGCAGAAGTCTGGGCTGTGAAACTCAATGATGACAATGGAAAGTGACAGTATATAAAAAGTATACAGCACATTTTCCACCTGTAATTACTATTCATTACTTACAGAAAGCGGGCAACATCTCCACCTGTTTATATTATCTGTTTCCAGAGCATCTCCAATACTTTACAGGATAAGAGGAATGAGCAAGGCATTGACATATGAGATGTATTTCCCGAGACTAACTTATGTTAACATTTGCATGGCTTAATATCAAGGGGCCAGTTTGCATATGACCATCAGATAACATCACCTGATAACAGAAAACTAGAGCAAAGTGATCCAAATTATTCTTTTCTATAAACCCTCTAGTGTTAATAGGACTGTCCAATGAGAACAAAAATTCAATGGTCAAAGGTTGTTTCTTGTCAATGCAGGACAGTAAATAATAGAAAGGATGTTGTCATATGACATCTGGTAGTGTCTTCCTTCACTCATCAGTTTGGAATTGTTCCCTGTTTCTACAAATCCTTGTCATTATTAAAATATCACTTCAAAGTATAGAAAGAAACATATATTTATATGTTTTATTATACTTATAGCTATTTTAAACTATGTATTAATTTAAAATTTATTTTTAAAAGCAGTATAATAAGCATAGACTGTAATCTGGAAAATATGCACATCCATTTCAGGATGTATAATGCATAAGAATCAGTGAAAACTTCAAAATATTCTTTCAAGCATTTGCTTGTAATCTCTTAGTTATGCTCACACAAAAGCAAATTCCCTTTTGATTAAGTCACAAGCTCTGGAACATTTCCATACAAAAATATCAGATTTACTAAAGAACAATCTGTTTAGTTCAGATAATTTAAAAAATGTTATAGCTAACTCTCCACAGTACACATTACTGATACGTTTGCTTTCTGGCAAGCAAATATCAGAACCCATTATAACATGCAGAAAACTCTATATATTTTTAAAGTACATTCTTATAAAGATGTAATATGAATTCAAAAGTTTAAACTACTTTTCCTGAAATTTGTTCATCTCTACTTGCTTAGGGATGTGAAGAATATTTAAATACATGGTTTGAAAACAATGTTTTGATCTTAACTGCAATTACTATCAGCCTACTGATTACACAGGTAAGAGTACTTTTAAGCTAAAACCCACCAAATATTGATATTCTGCTGGGGGTAAAAATCAATTCATTGCCATTTGGCTTTGGCATGCTCTCTGAAATTTTGTAAAGCTTTGCATCAATTGTAGTTAGAAGTAAGATCAAGCACTGTTTACCAACAAACTCCCATATATTCAAGCACCATCACAGATGTTGGTGTCCAAAGTGTGTTGAATTAAATGTTTGACCTGACTTGTGAAAACAAACAGTATTGCAGGGACAGGAAACAGAGTATGTAAAATCTGTGGAGCAAAAGACCTCTTTTGTCTGCTACTTGTACAGAACCTAGTCCATGAATACACTAAACCAAACAATACAAAATCATGAAAACTCTCCCCCCACATATCTATGAGAAAATTTTATTGGGTAAAAAGGAATAAAGCTTTCAATATCAAAACAAAATCGTATGAATAATAAAAACATTCCAGCTATGGAGTGGACCCGTTCAGTAATGAAAGTGTTTCTTATTCATACTCACCTAATCTTCACTAGCACAGTACATGAGTGTCTCATGATCTTCAATGTACTGTCATTGACACCTTCTTGTCAGTTGGGAACGAGCTGTTATCCCCATTCAAGAGGTTAAGACCAAGATTCATAAGGCACTGAAACGCTTAACACTTAACTGAATTATGTGCCACTTGAAATAGATTTCAAGACACTTCTGTGGGTGTGGGCCTAAGTGACTCGCTCCAGGTCACACAGAAGCCTGTGGCAGAACAGACAATTCAGCTTGTCTCTTCAGGCACATCTTGATCGTTCTCCTTTAGATCCTGCAAAGAAGCCAGGTTAACAGTCAGATTGGCTCAGTCGTGATTGAGTATCAACACTTTCTTTGTTGTTTTTAATTCACTCTTTTTCCTTTCTCAGATATTTTTGATCACACTAATTGGTCAGTTATTTAGAAACATCAGAAAGAATAATATTTGGCCAAGTGAATCATGAACTCTTCTGAGCATTGCTGTGGTGCAAGAATCATGTGATCCGTGCCTGTGACGGTCAACGAAATTACTTCCACTAAAATTTGGATTGGGCTCTACGTATTGTAATCACTAGGATATAAACACTTGGGCTTTAATATATTTTTTTGTTGTTCATGGCTATGGATATGGCAATATGCTACAAAATTACATGTGTTAAAGCCATTTACTAGCTGGTTAATAAAACTTCCTGACAAGCTGAATATTAGTTTCCTGAGTCTTGGGAACAACTTGTATGTTGTAAGTAGTACTGTATAATATCCCACACTTTGAAACAGAAGGAACCTGTTGTCATATGCGGTGGAGAAACATAGTTACTAAACCTTGCTGATACTTCTTTAGGCTTTTACCTTTCCTTCCAGTCCTTCTCTGTTTTATCCTTGTCTGTTGTGCACTTTATTCTCAAAAAAAAAAAAAAAAGTCTTATATACGTGGACTCTTACCAGCTCTTTTCCAAGAAGTGTTGTGGTAGACGTCTTTTGTTCTTGCTGAATGGCTCTTACCATTCATTTAATCAAATGCCTTCAGCGTTTTTGAGGGAGTAAGCTTGAAACCCTAAAACATTCTTTATCCTCTGAACAGTGAGGTGACCTGGTGTATCTTCAGGAAAACTGAGGAATGCGTGGGATTACAAGTGTGGGTGGTAGCAATGTTAATTATTTTTGCCTGAAACTTCCCATTTGAGTAATCCATCTTCTTATGCTTATAAATTTTGAAAGTTTTATTTATTTAGTCTAAAAAAATTTCATTCCAAGTACCTGACACGGGCTGAATTTCTTATTTATAGAGATCTTCAAATATGAGAAATGTGTCCATTCAGAGGTGAATGGCATGCTTGGAACAGAATCTGAATTCCAAATTTTATTTTTTGTTCTGCCACCAGCAAAAATCTAAGGAACACATCAATGAAGTTTCTCATGCCACTCGAAGGTTTATCTCCATTAAGAATGGCAGATACCTGTTACCTTGATGTCTGTGATGGATTAAGAGGCTTTAATCTTTTTATTGATGCAATTCAGTCTGAAAATACAATCTGAGGAGGATATTAAATAATAATATGTAAATAAACAATATTTTTTCAGTAATCTTCATTTTGCAATTTGCAGAGTACTTCAGAAAATTAAGATCAAGAATCTGAATTTTAGTTCATAAATACTATTCTAAAATGTAAAAATAACCTAACTTCAGTGTAACAAACATTACGTTTAAAAGTCCCAACAACCTGGTGAAATAGCAGAAGCTACTTTTCCGTTAGAAAGTAGATCCATTTCATTGAATAGGTCTGTGATACAGAGCAAGACAGAACAACTACTTTTCACTTCTTTCTATGCATCTAATATTCAACATGGAAATGATATACAGAATCGTAGAAGCATAGAATAACATAGGCTCAAATGGATATCTGGGGACCACTTAGTCCAGTCCCCCATTGTTCAAAGCCATGTCCAGGTGAGTGTTGAATATTTCCAGGGATGGAGACTCCACAGTCTCTGGGGGAAACCTGTTCCAGTGTTTGACCACCCTCACAGTGAAAATCTTTTTACTTATGTCTGACTGGAACTTCCCTTGTCACAGCTTGTGCCCTTTGTCTCTTGAACTACCACTGTGCACCTCTGAGAATAGTTGGCTCCATGTTTTCCACTCCTTCTCAATATGTAGTGGAAGTCAACATTAAGATCTCCCCTTAGGCTTCTCTCTTCCAAGCAGAGCAAACCTTCGCTCAGCCTCTCCTCCTACGTCATGTGCTAATGATCGTGGGGTTCCTGTGCTGGAGCTGCTGCAGTATGCCAATGTCTTTCTAATACTGGGCAGCACAGGACTGGATGCAGTACTTGAGTAGTTCTCACAAGAGGAGAAGAATCATTTCCCTCAGTCTGCTGCCTGATGCCAATAGAGCCTAGGATGCAGTTGGCCCTCTCTGCAGCAAGGGAATACTGTTGACTCATGTTCAGTTTGTTTTCTAGCAGGAGCCCCAAGTACTTTCTGCAAATGTGCTTTCTCCTCAGTTGGCCCCTGTGAAACCCATACTGCTGCGTGGGTTTGTTTCATCCCAGATGGCTTTATTGAATGTCATGGGTTCCCTTTCAGCCCATTTCTTCTGCTTGTCAAGGTCCCTCTGCATAGCAGCTCTGCCCTCCCAATTATTGACTCTTCTTCCTACAAGCTGCTATCATTTGCAGAGCTGCTGAAGGTGCAGTTCATTCCATCATTCAAGTCATTAACAGAATTTCCCTCCAGTCTTGATCCTTGAGGGTTGACATAATCAACCAACCACCACCTCAGCTTTATACTGCTGATCACAATCCTTTTAGCCAATTTTCCTCCCAATAGTCCTCTTATCCTGTCCCTGTATCACCACTTTGGCTATATTATGGGAGACCATGCCAAAGGCCTTGTTAAGGTCATTACACTTTCAACTCCTACTAAGCCAATCACCTCATCATAGAAGGTAATCAAGCATGGTCAGACATGTTTTGCCCTTGGCAAAGCCAAACTGTCTGTTCCCAATGACAGGAGTTCTTCACGTGATTGGAAAGAGTTTCCAGGAAGATTTGTTTCATAGTATTCCAAGAGTGTAAGGTGAGGCTGATCACCCTGTAGTTCCCCATACCCTCCTTCTTGTCCTTTTTGAAGATGGGTGTGGCATTTGTTTCTCTGCAGCTATCAGGAATCTCCCCCAAACACCATAACCTTTTGAAGATGATAGAAGGTGTCTGCTCAGTGATATCAGCCAGGTCCATATGGAACCATGGACTTGTGAATGTCCAACTTGTTGAAGCATTTCAGCTTCCTGTACCATGGGTTATTCTTCCTGCCCTCAAGACCCTCCTGCTTGGCTGAAGGACCTGAAATGCCTGAGGACAAACGTTGCCTATAGACTTCCTTTTGCTGTCCCTCCCCTTACAGAAGCCTTTTTTGTCACTATTCACATCCCTCAATAGTTTCAACTCCAGCTGGGGACTGGCTTTCCTGCATCCGTCCCTGCATGCTTGGGCAGTGTCTCTCTTTTCCTCCTGGGTAACTCATTGGCATTTCCACCTTCTGTATACTTCATTTTTGTGTTTGAGACCAGTACCCAGTTATTACAGTTTTGTGTTTGAGACCAGTTGACCCTTATACATACTAGCCTTCTGCCACACTTGCTCAACTTCCTTCACATCAGCATGGAGAGTTCTTGCACTCTGCGGAGGTCATCCTAGCAAATCAGCCAGCTCTTTGCTGCCCCTTTTCTCTTCATGATAGTCTCACATATGATCCTTCCAAGCAGATACCTAAGCCATCAGTTGCTCACTTATTTTAGGATTTTAAAGTCCACAGTCTCATGGTTGTTACATATGAGCCCCTTGATCTTTGCATTCCCAACCAGGTCCTCCTTGTTTGTGAGTAACAGAACCAGCAGTTCATCTTCTCTAGCCAGGTCATTGATCACCTGCATTAACCCAGTGTCATCAACACACACCAGAAATCTCCTGGGTTGCTTGCACCACGTCATAATGCCCTTCTAGCAGATGTTCGGTGGTTCCCCCGAATGCAAGGTCCAGTAATCACAAGGCTTCTTCCTCCAGCTGTCTAAAGAAGACTTTGTGGACTTCACCTTCTTGATCAGGCAGTCTCTGACAGGTACCTACTACGACATCATCTGCATTGGTTTGTCGCCTGATCCTTGCCCATGAACTCTCAACTGACTTGTCAGCCCTCCAAGGCAAAGCTCTGTGCATTCTCCCTGAGATATCAAGTCAAGTTGGCAGGGGAGTGCCTCCTTTCCTCCAAGAGCTACATTTTCAGAAATACTGAATACTTCAGTCAGTGTGAAGTAGCTTCTGCAGGTATACAAATACCTCTATTCAGTCCATGTGGGATGGTTCTTCACCGGTCTAGTGCAGTAAATTGCATCCAAATCTAATAAACACCTATTCATGTTTCACTGGTTTGTTACACTTAAAATAATTACTTGTGCACTTCCCCTGTTTTAGAAGGATATTAAGGATGTGATTACTGGGTAAATGCAGCCATGTAAAAGCTGGACAAGTATTCTAGCACATGTGGAGGGTAAGGTACTCCCATAGAGTAATTCATCCTACTTTTCCTAGGTAGGACTTATAGAATGACATCCTCTAGAAGTACCTTTATTTTTCAGGTTTGAGTGGGAGCCTAGTTGCACTAGCTTATAGTTTCTACAACTTGAAATGGTTAACACCAGATTAATTGCATCCCACTTTGATATTATATAGTCAAGGATTCAGAAGGCCCATACGGAATCTGAATTTGTTCCTAACGTAGCTGTAGTATAAAATGGTTGTCAATGATGTGCTCACATCCTGGCTTTCCACAGTAGGCTAAAATCCAAATCCTGTAAAAATGTACTGTGGTCTGTACCCAAATATTATTTTAGGATGAACAGAAGCAGCTCCTATTGTCCTCCGTGACAGTTTGGCCTGCCCAACTGAGAGGAGAATGTGCTTTAGTATGTAAGAAAATTATGAACAATACCTACCAAGACATGTCATCAACATTCACGATAAAATGTATATACTGACTGCTAAAATCTCCAGCAAGCACACAGATAATTAGATAATAGACATGTGTGTGCAAGAAGATTATATATAAAATTGGCAATACTGCCCCACATACTGCTGGTGCTTAACAATAATAACTTTAAAAATATCACTATTAATAAAATAATTAGTAAAAAGGGAATAAGAAAGGAGAAAATTTATAGAATGGAAAGTTAAAACTTTTTTTTTTTTTTAAATTTTGAGCTAATTAAATGGAAACAAGTATTTGTTTGCCAGTTTGTGCAATGCTGATAGGTAGACACTAGAGGACACAGAGAGCTCAAGAATTAGACAGGACACAGGAAAATAAACAAGATTTTACAGAATGCCATAATGTACAGACCTTATATATAGTCCACACTTTAAAACACATTGACTTATTCTGAAGGTGATAGCGGTGTGGCACCGC